AAAAAATAACAGATAAATATAGTATGAATGTTAATTATAAATAAAATGATAATATTATATAAAATTAACATGAAGTATTAATGATTATTACAAATAAATACCTTGGCAATTTAAAATATATAACAAAAAATATTATTCATTATTAATAATTAATAGTGGTATTTATAGAATAAAAGAAGGTATATATTTATATATGAAATTTACAATTACAAATAACATTAAAGACAATAACCATGATGATTTTATTAAATTATCTAATTGGAACCTTCTTTTATTAATTCATTTATTTTGAATAAATCAACAATAAAAAGAGAAAAGTATAATAATAATTAATTTATCATTCAAATATTATTAATATGATAATAATACTATTATATTTAAATAAATAAAATCAATTAATATCATAAGAAATGTCATAAACAAGAGTTGTTTAAATAAAAGTTTAATGACATCAAAAGAATCTTCCTACAAAAATACATTTCATACATTACAAAAAATAATAAGAAATTAAAAAAATTAAAAATTAAAAAATTAAATAAAACTGAAAAAAAAAACTTAAAGAACTTAATATAAAAAATGGTCCAAATAACATGTCTTTTGGCTGTAATGTTCTTTTTTAGTTATTGTTATGGAATAAACAACCAATGCAGTTCAGCTACAAATGTTGATTTAACAAACAGTGAACAATTTATGGTAACAGAAGATACAACTCATGCTAGTGATTCACTTTATAAAGTAGGAAGAAAGATGTATAAAACTAAAGGGAAATGGTATCGTGTTCATACAGCTGGACTAGGTAATAATATAGAAATAGATACATGTTTATCTGGAATAACAAATTATGATTCAAAAATTGCAGTTTTTGGACAATGTGTTAATGGTATGGCAAGCCAATTATTATCAACAAACGATGATAGTGTACAAGGATGTGGATCTGCTGCAAGACTCATTTTTAATGACAAACGTAAAACTAGTTTTTATGTATTTATTACTGGTGCAACAGAGAATGATGTTGGTGTATTTGGTCTTAGAATTATTAAAAATCCATCATTCAGTAATAAACAATGTTCTCATGCTGCTGATATTACTGAATACCCTTCATTCAGAGAAGGAACAACAACTGGACTAGCACCAAATTTCCATGAATTATCTGGATTATTTTATGTTCTTAAAGGAACAGGAGATAAAATTCACATTGGAACATGCCACCGAGCTACAACGGCTGATACTGTTATAAATGTATTTGATAATTGTGATTCAATGAATCCAATTCCTACAAAAATGACTGCATGTGAAGATGGTAATATGGGATCGAAAATTCATATTGACACTGTACCAGGTAAAATTTATTATATTCATGTAGCTTCTTCACCAAATAAGAGGGGAATGTTTATAGTAACATTCGATATTGAAAGTTCATTTGGACCACAAACATGTGACAAAGCACTTGCTATTACCACTTTACCATTTGCACATACTACCAAATTAACAGGAACAACTCAAAGTATGTCATGTGGAAGTTCAGTAGAAAAAGTTGGTTCATGGTATTCTATTGTAGGAGATGGATATGATTATTTAATGTATACATGCAATAGTATGAATGGACCACAAGATGGAACAATGATAGAAATATTTGAAAGTTGTACGTCTAATAGTAAATGTGAAATGAATAATAATGGATGTGGATTACATGGTAAAATTAGTAAAAAATTAGAATTAGGAAAGAATTATTTCATTAAAGTAAGTTGTTCTAACCCACATAATCAATGTAGAGTTACATTAAATGTTGATAAAATTAATCCACAAGGAACAGTCAATAGTTGTATTTTTTCTAAACTCGTTAGTATTACAAGTAAAGATGATTCATTTACTGATGCATTTGATTTACATACTTCAAGAACATCACAAACTCATTGTGGTGGTGATTCTCAAAAGAAAGGTATTTGGTATAAAGTTGTAAATGATTATAAATATGCTTTTCCTTTATTTATTCAAGCAAACGTCCTTTTAGCATCTTCTACTAAACACACAGCTGAGATTCAAATGTATAGAACATGCTCTTTAGAATGTGAAGAAAGACAATATTCAGTTCATCATGTTTTACTTAAGCCTAAAGAAACTATAATGTTCTTTGTTACAACAACAGAAGAAGAAGGTCAAGTATCAGTATTTATGAGAAGAGATTATCATATTAATCATGACACTTGTAAAACAGCTTTAGAATTTAATGCACCATTTACCTTAGTTGAATATAAACCAAATACTGGAAAAACTACTACACCAATCTGTGCTAAAGATGTTGTTGGAAGACACACAGGTATTTACTATTATTTCCAAAGTCCTGTAACAGATACAATGATTGTAGAAACTTGTGGTCTTGAAACTCAATTCGACACATATGTTGAAGTATTCCAAGGATGTGGTAATGATGCTAGTTGTGTATTATCTAATGATGATTCTCCAGAGTGTGGTAGTTCTGCTTCATATGTAAAGTTTGAAGCACAACAAGGAGCAGAATATTATATTTATGTTTCTGAATCTAGTAAGGCAGTAGATACAGAAGGAACATTTAGACTCAATGTTTATACACTCAATCCTCCATCTCATTCAACTTGTCAA